ATCGCTAAATCACCGATTTTTACAAATCAGTAAGCGCGGCCATGTTTGTGTATTGGCCGTATAAAAACAGGTGCGCGTGATGTCATTTCCCCACATCTTTAGATTCATGATAAATCTAGTTGAATCGTAAGGAAATATTAATATAATAAAGTATTGACCAGACAATTTAATTTTCACAGGAGGTGTAGAGGAGATTTTTTATGGTTCAAAATACGTAACAATATCAAAAAAAAAAATAATAATAATAAATAAAGAAACGTACGGCTAGCCAAAAGTTCTAGCCGTACGTGAGTCACGAACGACTAGCCAGGACGCACTGTACGTATTGTCTAGCCGTACGGCACTTTTCAAAATTATATGGAAGTCGAACGTTATAAAATTGTTGATTTTCATGCTTATCATTTGTTGTTTTATTTGTATGAATTATTAAATCATTTTTGTTAATTTTAAGCACATGGGTCGAATAAAAAATGATCGGAATGGAATAAATAAATAAAAAGATCATTGAATGAAAAAAAACGGTGAAATGCAAAAATAATTATATCATTTTCAAAACAGTAGATAAATATCGAACATAAAAGCACAGTCAATCAATTATTTAGCCTTAATTAAAACCTATCCAGGGACTGACAATAGAATTTTAGTATGCCTTTCACGGAACATGCAAACTTTCCTTGATGGGCAAACTTCTATACAGTACCGTCGGTAAATGTTGCAATTATCAAGAGCCTAACAACAATCATTTTCAGTGTTTGCTGTTTTTTTTTTTGTTTTTTTTTTTTCATAAAAAAGGTGTCGAAAATTAAACTTAATGAAACAAAAAAGGATTATTATCAAAATTTTGTAAACTATTTCAATTGGTGTAAATGCAAGCAAAGGCTATTTTTTCTCGACATCTTGCGATGACAAAGATCAATATATATAGCGATCAAGGCGATTAATCTCTAAAAAGTTAACATCCAAAGACAATTAATGCTGTTTCTTGGTTAAAATCCTCGCTTAAAGTCATAAATAACATATGCATTTTCGACTTCCATAAAATTTTGAAAAGTGCCGTACGGCTAGCCAATACAGCGTGTCCTTGCTAATCGTACGTGACTCGAGTACGGCTAAAACTTTTGGCTAGCTGTACGGGCCCGTACGCTAGCCATTTCCATTATAAAAACCCTACTAAAACGTGTTCTTAATAGTACATATAATTAAAGTTTTGCAGATTGATTCTGACTTTCAAATTTAAAGGTGTGGACATATGTTATAATTGATGTACACATTTCAAAAATATAAGCAACTCTTTTGAAAAGTAAATTGTTAACATGTCTGTCAACGTATGATGCTGCGCATCGTAATCATAGCCTAATATTAACTGCAGGCAAATCATTTTTATTGGCTGCTCAAAAATCTAATTTGCATAATTTATTCATACAATTGCTGGTTCTTACTACTTATGTCTAATACTGCGCATTGTCCATTTTAATTGTTCCTAATTTGCACAAAATGCTCCTGTCACACTGTGTACTGACCATTTTTATTGCTCCTTGTATGCCTCTGTGCCGACAGACCTTTTGATCATGCACAATGTTGCCCTGATTGGTTAATCACCCTTGTCAAATATTCTTATGACGAAATAGACATCTATTTTTTACGCTTCATCAGTGAACTGAATGACCTTAGGGGGAATTAGGTTCCACACCTGTCAAATTATACTGTAGTAAATTACAGCACGTCATAAAATAGCAACACATTTTTTCAGTTACCAATAATCATTTGAAATATTAAGTAGATTTATGATTTTTTGTTTTATTGGATTAAATTTACGGTAGTAGTAATGCGTATCTGTCGGGAAAGTAATTTGGTAAGTAGATAACGTGGAAAAAAGCTTTAGGGAGCTGGATAAACCCGAGAATATGCGTAATTATAGGGGAATGGGCAACCTGTTGCTGTTGGTACCAGTTTTGACTGGGTGCCTAAATAACCTATATTTGGACAGCTTGTCTAGCGAAAATTAAGTACAAAATAAAAGGATATATCGTCAATTTGAAGAAGTTTCTCATAGTACCCAAATTAAATTTATGGTTTATCTTTGAAAATTAAGCAGTCATTGCTTAAATCATGTGGTGGGATCATCAGCAAGCTTGAATATCGGACAAATGATAATTTATGTCGCGGCGTCTTCAATAAAATAATCAAATTAATTAATTAAAGCAATTCAGTTCCATAATTATGATGTTTTCATAAATAATATATAATGTACGCAATAAAATTAATAAGTTCTTCATCAAGATATATTTCAGTTGTACCAGCGTGTACACCTATACCGGAAGTGGGTATAACACATCACAATCTCGGTCTCGTCTGTCTCGCGAGAATGACATAACGCCAAAATGGCGGCGCCCATGAACTTATTTCTCAAGTAAAAAATAGTGTCTTAAAACACGAATTTCTCTCTTATAGGGTTGATGTCAATAGGAAAATTGTCATGATTCCTCTTTTTAAATGATGAATATTTATATTAGACAGACATCAATCCATCCATTCCTATTCCTTTAAGAAGATTTTCTTCATAAAACCTTTCTTTTATCAAAATTTTGAATGTATATAAAATACGAGATAGAGGAAATAAAAGGCATAGCTCTATTACATGTCTGAAGATATAAATTATCCATTTATATTTTGTAACGGTATCTTCCACATTATGCCATTGCTAGAATTTGATAACCGGTTGTTTTTTTTTCTTCATTATTTCTTTATTTAAAATAACGATAATATATTTTAAAATGACAGGGTTTTTTTTGTATGATGTCCGTAATTTTGAAAACATCTACATAGATCTATATGTGATTACCAGTAAAAAGGGGACAGTAATACCCTAAACACCGAGATGACAGAGATAGGCGCACGAGCTGCTAGCTGCAGCAGACGACAAAAAACCAGCCTCTATCTCACTGACATGTCACGTGAGTCTACCATGACCCAAGCTTTTCAAGAGGCGGAAGAAGAATTCCTCAACGCGCTAAAACAACAAAATGCACCTGTTACCAAGGGTGATGATCCTTCCGACGAAGAAGATATAAATATTGGTAAATTATAAAACATTTCAAATACTTCTAGATATTATACTGAAAAAAGATTGTATTTCTTATAGCTTAAAAATTGACTTCATTGGTAACGTTTGTAAGGGAATACTCAACAATCCTGTAAAATTAAAAAAAAATACTATAAATTCTTTTTTTTAGGCCTTTTCAGCTTGCAGTTTAGTTTTTTTCTTTGCGAATCCTTGTTTTCAGGCGACTGTAAAAATACCGCAATGGATCCTTCACTTGAATTTCCTGTTAAGAATTTATCCAACTTAACGATTTAACTACATTCATAAAATGAGCTTAACAATTTAAATTAAATTCGAATAGATGTGAAAGAATTACTTCGGGAGAATCCGGTCCAATTAATTAATTAATGATATACTTAGGTATAATCAATCTGCGTCAATGAATAAAATATGTCATAGAAATTTAAGAGACTTTAACAGCCCTTCAAAACTTTTATATTGTCATCTTTATCTACTTCTTCTATTTCAAACGAATGTTATATTTACCTATGTTCAATTATTCGGTAGACGTGAATGAAACTACCCAAACTAAGGGTGCATAAACGCGTGCACTTTCACCTTTTTTCAACAACGTTTTCTAAAGATTCCGACGAGTTCCGTGTGATATTACAGAAGGTACAAGATCATGAAGATTCCCCTGAAGTATACAGTTCGACACCCTCATTGGTTCTATATTTCCCAATTTTAATAAGAGACTTTCTTTTTTTTTTTAAATTACTGCAATCGAACAAAATGCCGTTTAGTACAGAAATTTAAAAAATATAAATAACACATTATGATCATTTGCCACTAAGCCCGTCCAGATTGTATTTTTAAATACTTCCTAATCTAAATATCATTTCAGTAAAAAAAAGTATAGATAAGATATTTACAACAACAAAAAAATAGTAATATCCGAAAGCTTTTGCGTTCCTTCTTTGCGTTCCCCTACCAGTGCTTAATTCTGTCAAAATGTGACAAATGACAAGTTTTCACTGCATGATAGAAATGTGAAAGTACGGGGATGATTTTATCACCATGCGTGTCATATTTGTGACAAATTTTGGAAGACAAAGGATCAATATAGAAGTACGGATCGTACTTTGGTAACAGTATACTGTATTAGGACACTTTAATCAATGACTATCTTATATTGATCATTATAATCTTTTTAAGGCCAAGCAAACACAAACGTTTGGTTGTCAGTATCGTGTTTCAGTCCGCCATGATGTTTAAAAAGGAAAGAAACTCTGTTTTTCAGTGTTTTGGTGATTGTTGCCTGTTTATTAACACCTATTTGCGCAGAAATATCTGTAATGATTATTTAGGTAACTTACACATAAGCATGTGACTGTTAGTACAGAAATACATTAAAATTTTAAATTTAAATTTATATCATACACATTCTTTTGATTCTTCAATTTTTTTCTGGAAATAAATTACATGCGTTAAATAAAATGCGTCCAGTAGAGGAGAAATTCCTCATTGATAAAAAAAACACCTCATACAATCCAGCCTCTAGCTGTTGCGTGACACCCAAAGAGTTTGGTTGTTTGCAAAGAGTTTTGTTGAAATCTATTGTTGAGGTCAGACTGGGGAAAATTTATAGAGGTTATATTGCTGTACATGGGATGATTATGCAGGAGTTAAATTCCAAAAAGCATTACGAATCAAATATAAAATAAATTATACAATAAAGTAACTAATATAAAATGTAAAATTGTTTGGTTTTTTTCTCTTCTTAATATTTCATAAGCATTTCTCTCTCATTTGAAGATAGCAACAACAGAACAACAAAACAGAACAAATAGTTTATTCAGATTTGTACATAGTACATCATCTTGTATATACATATCAATAATTATATATGTCAACGTGAGATACAATAAGAACATAATTATTAGATATAAGCGGTTAGATATATAATCTGAAACCAAACAATTTATTTTCTGTACGTCTTAGGATATAAAACAAATCCTAGTTCAATATTTGACAAAATCTAAATGATTGAAACAATATTAGATTGTAGTATCAAATTACCCCCTTTACAAACTGCAACAATAAAAAGATCTGACAGTCCTGGTTCAATGTCATCTTGAGAGAAGAACGCCATCGATTCTCTTCAGTATTTGTTCTAATACATATGTATTTGAATGAGAAAAAATGGAATAATTAGGGCTTGAAGTTTAATTATATACATAAGAACGCTAAGAGGATAGGAATCTTTGATGTTGTGTAAATGAGAGCTTTGAATAAGTATCATAAGTGCAATTTATTTTATACGTTTAAATATCCGTACATTAAAATAGTATATATTTAAAAATGTTGGTTATATAACATCGAAAATAAAATATAGAATTTAGAAAACATGTTACTATTCGAGAGGGATATTTAAAATAATATAAAGATATGACGATGTCCAAGGCGGAGACTTTCAGTTTTAGACCAAAGTTGATCCGAGAGGAGACATTACTTGAAGGTATAAAGGAATATACAACTTCATTTTAGATGTTACAGGCTGCTAATTAAGACAGAAAACAGTTGTTGTTACGATGTTACGATGTTATGTCAATATGTGAAATTTAAATGGAGTTATTTTTGTCGGTTTTTTTTTCTCTCGAATAAGTTGACCATTTCCTGATTTCATTCGACTGTAAATTGGAGTACTTTTTTCAGAATTGTATACATTTTTAAGTAATACAAACCTCTACAATACTTTGATTACGTATGCGTTCTATACTGGTCAGTTTCACTCATTATTATTCTTTATATACATGTAAGCTATGGCGAAACTTATTTCCTACCTAATTAGAATCGTATTAGGCCAATAGAATATGGTTACAGGAGCCTATATCAAATGCTTGGGCCTTACTATGTGCCTTAAGAATAATTAACTTTTTGATACATTTCTTTTTTCAGATCCGCCGAGAAAATACTGGGAACCTCAGGACATAAAAATCAGATTATATTTACGAGAATGTGAGAGATTAAAGGTTTGTTATTATAACAATGACGACTGTAATAAAATAATAACTGCGATAACAATCATAACAATGTGATACAAGGTAACATATTGTATTTCTTGTTTATGGCATGCACATCGTGTATACATGTTTTGAGTTTTTATATTTTTATTTGATCGTGTTTACAAGTTACACAAAACAGCTTTTATCAATTGAAACAAAAATTCAATAGGCCTTATCCATATATTCTGAATATGTCCGCGTGCATTGATATCGAACCAGAATTTTCGACATTTTGTTACGTTAGTTGTTGGATTTTAGAACGTTTTCATTCAGTTGGGTACCCCTCTAACGTGTAAGATATAAAAAAAAGGTTCAGGGCTTACTCGTATAAAATGCTACTATGTTCGAGTTTACAATTAAGTTAGATTGAAATCTCGTTTGACAATATGGAAGATTTAATGTGTCTGCTTCTGAACCAAGGAGTCGTGGGTTCGATAACTATTTGAAGCACGACCTAATGACACTAGTACTGGTTAGGTCCAGGCAGCAGACTAAAAAATGTTAAATGTTAAATAATATATGTTGCAACAATCGACCTAAAATAGTTTAAGCATTGTTAAACTAAGTGTGCAAAGCGTCAGCAACATATAATATATGCATAAGGAGTTGCATCCGCTCAGTCTGATCAGGATCCATGATGTTCGCTTACAAACCCTTAACAAGTAGAGAAACTGATAGCGAACAACATGGATCCAGATCAGACTGCGCGGATGCGCAGGCTGGTCTGGATCCATGCTGGTCACAAACCCATTATGTTGGTTTTGTCATGACGCGGCTCATATTATTTTTTGTTGCTCGGTTTAAAAACTTATCAAACTTCCAGTGGGCAGTTTCAAATTCAGAACAGAACAAGTTCATGAAACAAATTACCAAATTTAAGCAAAGTATTAAAGAACCATATTTCTTTTCCAATTTTTTTTCATTAGTTCACATATAAGTTTTAATTGTATATTGATTCATGTGTGCATGGTTACCTAAACATGTTTTGATCTTCATGTTTTACTTTGATGGCTTACTCATGTTTGATCCCTATCATGACATGAAAAAGATAAAAATACATGACGTGTTGAGATTCGTATTTTATTTTGATGACGTAAAGTTTTCATTTTCAGGTGATACCAGTAAGTGCGTACCTAAAACAAGGAACGAAGAATTCTCTCAAAATAAAACATTATAACATGGGACCGAATGGAGCTAAAGCTCTCGCCGCTGCACTGTTGGTAAGTGAACAACAGAGTATGTTAAACCGATAGTAGCTCTATATGTTGTTTATACAAGAGATACTTGCTAAAATATTGCATTGCTTTTGTTATTTTTTTTTTCTAGTCAAACATTTATAAAATCTATTTCTAAGAATCATTCAGTCTAACAAATACTCACCACATTAATGTATTTATATTCACATATCTATTAATTACGTATGAATATTTAGGAACGTTATAAAACTTACTCTTGACCGGAATATTTCAGCTAGACACGGCTATCTCGTATCTCGACATAGAAGGTAACTCGATCACTTCACTCGGACTGTCCAGTATTAAAGAAGCTCTATCAGAAAATATGCATATCTCATACCTGGTAAGTTTCAACATCTAATATTTTTTAAAAGATTTCGCAAGAATATTTTACAATAGATAATTCTCAAAAAAAACCTGCATTTCCATGGATCTCTCGAGAAGAATTTTACTTTGGATCTGTCACGCAAAGTTCAAAATGGATATGCATATTTACAAAAAATCTCTAATGCAAGATTTAATATGGAAGATATCTTATTCAATTTTACAATGAATTACTAGTGCAAATGTTTCAAAAGTTCTGTCGCGCAATTTACAATGGATCTTGCATGCGTATTATTTGTCTAAAATGATACTAAGAAACAAAAAGATGCACCCAATTTCTCGTTTAAGAAAGTATATTTCTAAAATAGAAAAAAAATATTTAAACAGCTTTCACACTGTCTCTCCTTTTGTAATGCTAATTTTGCCTTACGTTATTATCTATATATGTTGTTTTACATATCTAAGAATATAGCTGACAACAAATTGGGAAGTCAAGGTGCTGAACTTATAGGATCAATGATGGCACATAATCACGTGCTCGAAATATTTGATGTTTCCAGTAAGTAGTCTCGCGCCTTATATAAAGTGAATATATTTATATGCTCAATAACGCATGATCGTATAAAATCAGATTGTTCACTTTAATCCCTAAAATTAAACAACTAAACACTTTGTCATAGGGAAGCAAATTTCGTGCGAGTGCTAATAAACTCGGTGAAGAAGGATTGGTTATAATCAGTCAATTTTCATGTCTCTTAGATAGCCTTTAAACTCAAAATACGATTCGATAATGAACGTATTTTTATATAGCTGTAAATGGTCATAGATTAATACATAAAGTTGTTACACGAATATTCTACATAATTATGTAGTTATAAATTAAGTCACAAAATGTTTCAATTGTTTTCAATATATTTATTTTTCTTCAGAAAATGGATTTCGAGATTCAGATGCTCATATATTTGCTAAAATTATCAGTGTAAGTGACACAATTTCTGTTCCATTGTTACTTCTCCCAGTAAAAAAATTGCAACTTCTATTGCAGAAATCTATTGAAATCTAGAAAATTCTTACTAAATATGACTAATTCGGATGAAAGAATGCAAAAACTATGGGAAGCTGCATTCCTTATAACTTCTCAAGTTACTGTGGTCCCAAAATCTGAATTTTTAACTATAAGACTTCATTGTGTCTTTAATTTTCGTTGTGTTACAGTTAAATAGTTTTACATCGCAACCATCTGTTACTATTAAAATAGACAGTAACTGTATTATATTATATTATATAAATAGTGTGCACACTTTCTTTGACTGTTGTGTACATTTCAGGAAAACAGAACTTTGAAAGAATTAATTCTTGCCGGTAACGAATTTGAAGATCGAGCTGGAACCGAATTTGGGACAGCTTTGGGTAAATTACCGTTACAATTGATCATGAAATAAAAATAAGATTATCGAATATGTCTTTAAAGGAACTCCACTGAGGTTTATAAGACTAAAAACATAAAATTTTAATTTTTCACATAGATAAACATGAGCACTTATAACAGAAATATAAATAAAATATAACCAAGAAATATACAAGAAATACATTGAAAATCATATGTTTGTGCTATTCTCAGTCCGATTTGAGTTAAAAGCGTTTAAACGCTTTTCAATTTTGTGTCATTTTTCACTATTCTGGAAAAACGAAGGGAGCTAATGATCTGAAATTTTGCACATACCTTATTAGTATAGTTCTACATCAAATGAAGTAATAATCTCAAAAAAATATTTCCATTCCCGTCATGTCAAAAAGTCCCTTTAATAAAGACAATGAAATAACGCAAACGTGCCGAATATATACTTAACATAACAAGTTTACTTAATTCCCATAAAAATGTACATGTATTTCGTTTGTTTTTTGTTTTTGTTTTTTTTTATTAATAAAAAAAATATTATAATATTGCATTGCAAATCAGGAATTCTTGTGTATGTCATACATGACAAGTTATATCGCATTTAGCGTTACTTTCATCAGGTAACAAGTAGCGAACATTGTTTGCCCTTCCTCAGGAAGTAAAAGTTAACTGTCACGGTTCAGAACTGTTCACTTATTACGGGAGGAAATGTGTGAGCGGCAGGATAGCTCAGTCGGTAGAGCCACGGAACGGTATTCCGCGGGTCCCGGGTTCGAGTCCCGGTCAGGCTGCACATTTTCTCACCCTGTGACATAACTTAAAGCTCAAATACACATACAAGAATGGCTAGATAAGTTTACATTTAGCTCTGTTATTATTACGAATGTGTTCAGTTGTTGTTATTTTGTTGTTTGATTGTGATAATAAAGTCTAAATTCTTAGCCGTAATTTCAGCTTCAAATGACATTCTTGAAAGACTAGATGTTAGTTGGAATCATATACGTAAGAAAGGTGCTGCAGATTTTGCTCAAGGTGTAAAGGTTAGAACAAAAACAACTTATATGTAGTACTTCACATTTGTTTTAAGCATACTGATCGAACCAAATAAGTTAATTGGACCGAAACTATACGTCCTAAATACAACCTTAATTCTAGCGTTCTTCCCATATACTATACGCCCTTATTTAAACATTCAAGCAATGGTTTGTCTCAATGTTCGTTGTACGTTGGTACAGCATCAAACAGCAGAATTGAAATTCTTAAAAAGAGGTATTTCTCAACACAAAAGAAACAAAATACATGAAATTGAATATGGTCATTACACTAATTGCAAATGCTCATGAAAAATACAACATCTCTTTTTTATTTATTCGTGTGTTTTATTTTTTTAATGACCATGTGTTTAAACTAACTATATTTGTTTTACTGTTTTGTTTAAGGAAAACGTAGGATTAAAGAAGTTGAATGTTAGTTTTAACGGTTTTGGCACAGAGGGTACAGCTTTTATGGGTGTGGCTCTTGCAACAAACCGGACCTTACTTGAACTTGACATGTCCAAGAACCGGATCACCGAACTTGATTTAAAATTATTCACCAAACAAATGGCACAAAACGACACTCTGCAAATTCTGCGGGTATTACAAAACATATTTTTATATCTTAATAACATTGTTATTTAAGCATTTCTCAGTACAATGTATTATAATTACTTTGGGAGCAGCTCACTTTTGTGTATCAAGTTATTATTTATACCACACTGTAAATGTAAAAGTCATATGGCGATTTCCAAGCTGTACTAGCATAGGACAAATCCAGGTTTCGGACGACTCATTAAATGTTGGACATTAGATCAACCCTAAACTCGCTAGATAGCTTCTTCGCATTAAATAGGTGGGATCGAACCCATTTGGTCCGTAGTAAACATAATTAACCATTTTGTCACATTAAAATTATTGACGTATCATCTGTATACATGCATTAATACCTGTCAGTGTTAATTTCAGATAGGAGAAAACCTTTTTAACGCTCTTCCTGCAATGGAAATATTGAGGGTTGTACTTGCCTTAGAAACGTCATCTATTCAAGTATTGGACTTCGGGGTATGTAGCATTATTAGGTTATAAGTTACAGTTTCAAACTTTGATTTCTCACTTTACTTATCGTAGGTAATTGTAAGTAATGGCAAACGATTTTAAATAATAAAGAGACTATTTCTTGCCAAACCCCTTCATTAAAACTCTATACTTGTCTGTACTTTCCAAAGTCAACTCATTTTTAATCACATAATACTTTAAAGTGAAGGGGATTTGCAATATCCTGTGGTTCTGCTCTAACACACGTCATTATCCAGTAGAATGTACTATAGTCACATTTTGGGATTCGTTAATAAATGAACATAAATGTAGAATTTCGCACACAATCTAACAAAATATTTATCATCTTTTGGTTGTTATCAACAAGCTAATGACCACTTTTTTCCTTCCACAGACAATGTGTGTAGATCAGTGTTTTCTAATGGTCCTTAAAGAACTACAAGATGTGAAAGATGTTAAAGTTATACATGGTAGAATACAGAATGTTTACCTGGACAGGGACATGATGCCTGTACCTGAAAATCCCGACCAAGACCTCACAGAATACAGCGGAACAACGCCAGGATTTAGTGAAATAGACAAAAGTGAAAAAGGTAAAACTTACGTTGTTGAGGAAATGGATAAAAACACTGAAACTGACAATGATGAAATGGAAGGAAACAATAAGGGAGATGAAAATGAGAAAAGAACTGATGATAGTGGTGAAACAAAGTTGGAAAAAGGGGAAGAAAAGGGTGATGAAGAAGGTATTGACTTTGATGAAAAGAAACTTGATGATGAAGTAGAAGCTGTAACTGGTAAACCTGAACCAGAGAATAAGGTCCAGAAACCTCTAGCTGATGATAGAGGAAGTGCCGGAACTCTTACACCGGATATATAGTTAAACTTAAATAATGTAAATGTTTCATCAGTAGTACTAGTTAATTATTTAATGTTCTTAGTACATAAGTCAAACAGATAAAAATGATAAATTTAACTATCTAAGTACATAAGTCATAGAGGATATTTGTTTGTTTTGCATGTAAGATTGAAATATAATTTCACTGAGTGAACATCAGATGCAATATTTTTACGATACGAGTGGCGTAGCCACGAGTGAAAATATAATAGCTGGTGTTCACGAATAACATATATTTCAATCTTATATGTAAAACAAATAAATTTTCTTTTTATTTCATGCCTTTTAAGTGATTTTAAGTATTTTTTACTGATTTTGCAGCGTAACGTCGCGCATTCTCCTTTGTGACGTCATCACATCATGACGTCACATCATCAATTTTGAAATATAGTTCTGTTTAATTTCTCTTATTTTGTTACATTTTTAACATGATGTATGGTGACATCGACTTTCTTTTCCTAAAGAAGCAAAATTTACGTATGACGGCATTTAATTCTACCTGTTATTCCATTTATTTATGACTTTCTTTTCATCCGCATTCAGATAAAGTCCGGCTACAGTGAAAATTATATTTTATAAATTTCACTTGTGGTTTATCAGAATTTATTTCATGCTTTCCAGTGTTTATTGTAATATATCAGATGATTATATTCTGATAAACCACTAGTGAAATTTATAAAATATAATTTTCACTGTAGCCGGACTATATCTGAATGTGGATGAAAAGAAAATTAAACTAAATGGAATAACAGACTGAAATAAGTGCCGTCAAACGTAAATTTTGCTTCTTTAGGAAAAGAAAGTCGATGTCACCATACATCATGTTAGAAATGAAGCAAAATTAGAGAAATTTAACAGAACTATATTTCAAAATTGATGATGTGACGTCATGATGTGATGACGTCACGAAGGAGAATGCGCGACGTTACGCGGCAAAATCAGTAAAAAATACTTAAAATCACTTAAAAAGCATGAAATAAAAAGAAAATTTATTTGTTTTACATATAAGATTGAAATATATTTCATTCGTGAACACCAGCTATTATATTTTCACTCGTGGCTACGCCACTCGTGAAAATATTGCATCTGGTGTTCACTCAGTGAAATTATATTTCAATCTTACATGCAAAACAAACAAATATCCTCTATTTATTACATGCTTTTCGGTGGTTTATAGAAATATATCAGTGATATAAAACTGGTAATTTCACTGTTTGAAAGTTTTGAATTTAAGCCCATTACCTTGTTTCAGTGAAATACCAGCGTGCACACTACTGGGTACCAACTTAATGATGTGACGTCGTAAATGACGTCACGTTGTATTATTATTTGGCGCGCTTTTCATTCAGTATTAGGTTTAATGTCTTTTTAAAACGTTTCTTTGCATATAATAAAAAGAAAATTTGTTTAGTTTAGTTTAAGATCGAAATATATTTCACCTTGTGAACACAAAAAGTTCATATTTCACTCGTGGCTGCGCCACTCGTGAAATATACCTTTTGGTGCTCACTCGGTGAAATATATTCCGATCTTACACTGAACTAAACAAATATCCTCTATATAATCATCTGATATATTACAATAAAACACTGGAAAGCATGAAATAAAAGTGTATTGTGGATGTTAAACAGTGTTGTTTACATGGAGCATAATACGAAACAAACCAAATCATTGAACGGTGTAATATGTAACACAGGGGATTCATACTGTATTAGTTCCAGTTTTGAATTGCAGGGTAGTGTCATTCATTTATAGACATAAATTTGTGTCATGCATTGGTATAGATATAAACTGATATCATTCATTGGTATAGACATAAACTGGTATCATTCATTATATTCATTGGTAGAGACATATAAACTGGTATCATATATCGATATAGGCATAAACTGGTGTCATCCCATTCCTTGTATATTGACTGTATATTTTATACTGACACTCCAGTATTTGTTAAGAATGTGCCTATTTGTATTGTTTATAAGATTTTAACATGAAATTAAAATAACTAATCTAATGATTAGATTTCTAAATAAAAATATACAATTGAAAATGACTACTGGTTTACATGTATATTCCCATCAATATAAATAGTGGCCAAATTCAACAGTAATGGTATAACTGTTTTGAAACTGCTCTTGGATATTTTTATGTTGTAACAAAGAAAGACAATAAGTTCAAATAACAGTTCAAACTCTTTATTTCTCATATCACAATCACAGGATTATTTATTGGATGGTCTTGAATGCAATTTCTATAGTGTCAAAATCTGAATTTAATAAATATATATCTTATTCTTTAACACTAAGCTAGAATGTTCAGATGACCCATTATATGTTTTCTATGTCTAAATGTTATTAAGAAATACATAAAATATACTAGGCCATCTGAGTAACTATAAAAAAGTAATGCAGATATGCAGAAAAAAACTTGTTACATTAATAATATTACCAAAGTGCATTGAAGAGATTTTTTTGAGTGTAAAATCAAAATTAGATCAGACGTACTACTTTCACAGGTGTCATAGAAACAAGTAAAAATGTAATAACTGCTGGGCAGGAATGAAAAATTATTTGACTTTACGCATAACTAAAACAAATTTTATTACTATTTACAAATCTTTTTAAATTTAAAGGTATCAACAATTAAAACCATTTAATGATTTCTGATGTTCTTAACAAAGTACGACATCACAAAATAGCAGATATTTTTCACCTGTTAACATGTATACATGAGTTGATGTTTCTGTGCTTGCAGTTAACATGTTTCTGTTGTAATTTTCAATTATTAATTACAAATACAACTCATCTAAAGTTTGGCTACAGTTAAAATATATCCCAATAATTAATGTACTGCACTGTGAGATTTCATCATAACAGAATGTCTTCAGAACTGAAATCAAATTGTGCATGCCAGATTTTTTCCTTCAAAAAGCTGATCGAAATATAAATGCATAATTTCATCATAAACAAAGCCTATTCATGCTGTTAATCTTACACTATTTCTTATATTTGTAATTTCCCATATAGAACCACCGGGTCATAATTTCACAGTCATGTAGAAGCACAAATAACTGCTACAATCTTATTTATTTTATTGATAACTACCAATATCAGACATGACATCCTGATTCTAAGTATTTACAGAACCTACTGTAGAATGTTTAAGATCTGAATCAACATGGCTATCTTTATGTGCTTCAGTAACATCCTGTTTTCCTGCACTTGCATTGTCTTTATCACTGTCTATTTCTATTCCTAACTTTTTCATCTGTGACACCATGAATTCATCAATGTTTATTTCATTGCTGAGATCAAGTTTCTGGTTTAAGAAGGATCCCCAGGACATGTATCTACTTGTGTTCATTTCATATTCAAGTAAATCGTCACTTCCTGTCACATTAGTTAAAGAATCAAGTCCGATAACATTCAGATCTGGTAGCAGATCATACAGTTGAGCACATATTGCCTCACTGCATTTAATCTTATGACAGTTTGTAATGTTGACAACTTTCAGATTTCTGAAATTCATAAAATGTTCAAGGTTAGTGTTAGCCTGTTAGGCTTACATCACTTTGCAATATTAGTTCAATATACAATGTAAATGTACCTAGTATCAAGAATTTATGCAAATTTTCTCTTTTGTATATAAGAATGTTGTGTAATACAGTGTATCAGATATAAGACAAAAGACTGAAAATATCGTCATATGTTGTGTTTAGGACCAGCACGTCTATTAGTGTACTAACACCATCGTCGGATACCCATAGTTGATTAACATGCCATCAAATAAAAGTGAAAGATGTTAATGGTCTGGCCGATATCAAAGCACATGTCACATGATATTTTTTCTTGCACATTTTATCATATCTTAAATGGTTTAATTTAATAAATTAACTTTTCATTAAACTAATGAAATTTCATAGGTAACTATTTTCTTATATAATTGCATGAATTTACAACTTCACTCATAAAGGGAAAAATAAAGTCACCCTAAGCACATGCACAGTTCATTCAAACAATGTGCATTTGTAAACTGAAACAAAAGGTTCACTTACTTTAATCTATAGAGAATCTCAAGGCCATTATCTGTTATTTGAGGACAATCACTGATATCTAAAGCCTCTAAATTAGGACAGGTCTGTATAATCGTTTCTATGTACCAATCATCCACATATTTACTCTTTGATAACCGAATAAATTTTACATGTTCCAGTTCATCTGAAAAAAACGAAACAATAACAACTACAAAAATCTATTTTCAGAATATTTAACTGTTATTCCCACAAACCTCAAATGCTAGAGGTCCTTGCAGAAGTACCTACATACAAAATATCAACAAGCCAAGGTGCTACAAAAAACATTGTTTATTTAATGCTTTCAGGTACATCTAGCATAAAATAAAACAACAATTGTATTGTTAAGGTGATGAGACTTCAGATGAGCAAACAAAGCTTAAAATGCTATTGTTCTATAACTAGACACTTACAAAAATATTGTAGACCTTCATGCAGGAAAACTATATTAGATACATCAACAGCCTCCACTTTGTAGCCTTCTTCATATGTTGTAGGTAATGGTGATGGTTGATGCTCAAACTTCTGATACCATACATCATCATCTACAAATTTCACCTTTCCACCAAGTTTTAGGAACATATGTGCAGCTGCTAGGTCTTTTCCTGCCTGTGCCACTTTGACTTCATCATATCTGCATGAAAAATATACAACTTAACTTTTATGTGTCATTCCTCATATAGTACTTCTCCCTCTGAGCGGATTATAGAAGGCACTCTGGTCTTTGTCAAACTTTGGAGTGCCAGTTTAAGATTTTCAGCTAAAATTAAACAGTCAACTAAGTAATGCATTTGCAACTGGTTAACTGGGATTGATGTGCTTGAAATAAACTTTGTTTTCTTTATCTAAAACATACATTAAACATAAACAAAACATACATCAATTGTTATGAAAACATACATCAAATGATAACATAAAGAAGCACTTGCAGTACTGAAAACAATGTACATGCAGGAGGAAGCATATTTTATTAAAAATGAAAAATAAGTAGTATCTATATCATATATATAACAAGAGCCGGTTGAACCCAGGTGATGCTCCCTGAATAGATTTTGAACACAGAAAAGTAAACCTCTTGTAGTGTCAGAGTTATGTCACAGACACATTTCAAAGTGTTTAAATGAACAAAGGGCAGTAATTACAAAATAAAGCAAGGCAGAGTTATGGTTCTTTTGCAGTGCACATCTACCCAATGAGATCTATCTACCTTCAAAGTCATGTTCATATCTATTATACTTTAAAAACCATGTCCTGGACAATGTTCAAAGCGAAAAATGAACAAAGGGCAATAACTACAAAATTAGGCAAGACAGAGGTACTTTTGCACTGCACTTCTACTCAATAAAATCTATTTACCTACAAATATTCATGTTGATATCTCTTATGGGTTTAGAGTAATGTCCTGGACAAAGTTCAAAGTGCAAAAATGAACAAAGGGCAATAACTCCAAAATTAAGTAAGACAGAGTTACGATTCTTTTGCACTGCACTTCTATTAAATGAGATCAATCTAACAACCTACCAAGTTTCAAGTTGATAACTCTTGTTG